GAGGCAGCCTCCTACTGGAAGGAGAGGAAGGACACTAGCAACGTGCCGCAGAACTTCAAGCCCGAGTACGCCATGGCCGTCTTGGCCTACAGCAGCCAGGGGCCCCTGCACATGCAGCCCCTTCACCAGGAGTTCAACGCCGCCGTGAGGGAGGCCGGCCGCACCCGGGACTCCTACCTCAGCCACTTCAACTTCAAGACCCTGCACTTCCTCCTGACCAGAGCCCTTCACGTCCTGAAGGCCGCCGAGCCCGCGCGGTGCCACCAGGTGTACCGCGGCGTCCGGGGCATCCGCTTCAAAGCCGAAATCCGCAAGCCCGTCCGGTTCGGCCACTTCACCTCCACGTCGCTGAAGAACGACAGCGCCCTGCGGTTCGGGCAGGACACCTTCTTCTCCATCAAGACCTGCTTCGGGGCCAACATCAAGAACTTCTCCTTCTTCCCCGACGAGGACGAAGTGCTGATCCCCCCCTTCGAGAAATTCAAGGTCACCAACTTCACCCAGGCTCAGGGCAGGACCATGATCCAGCTGCAGTCCCTGGAAAGCTCCAGCAACCACAACTGCGAGTATGTGAAAGGTAATGTCTGCTCCCAGGGAGAGCTCCTGGTGGCCTCTTCTGAGCTTCCCTCCGGCCTGCAGGGCACCGAGAACCGCGGGGGACGCTTGGCCCAAGGGGACGCCCCAGGCTGCCTCGGCGTCAGAGCTGTTTGGAGCTGGGGGTCCAGTCTGGGGAAGGAGGGTCAGAGACAAGTCTGAGGGTGGAAACAGGGCCAGCTCTCCAGCCCTGACCTCCAGGGCCAGGCCAGCTCTGGTTCTGTGACTGGGCCTCATGCAGGATGCTGTGGGCTCCGTTTTGCTTCTGAGCAGGGAGAACGAAGCCCGGGAGGCGCCTGTGAGTGGGGGGATGTGATCAGATGCCTGGCTGACCCCCTTCCCATGCCCCGTTCTAGCCACCAGCTGGCGGGAGGCACTGGGGGGCAGCTGCCTCCGAGATACGCTGATTGGGGGTGGTCCTATTCCAGAGCCTTGGTGTCCCAGCCTGGAGCTGAGGTAGGGACGGAGAGGCTGGCAGGCAAGGTCCTGAGCAGGACTCTGAAGACTTGAGCTCATGTCCTGGACATCCCTGGGGAAGCGAGTGCCTCTCTCTGAGCCGCTCCCTGCCTGTACTAAGGGATGAGCAATTCCTTTCTCCCTCTCCTGGCCTACTGAAACTCCTTGGGCCAGGGACGCCTCTGAGCCCAGCCCAACCCCAGAGGACCCTAATCTTGGCTGGGGCGTCAGATAATAATGTACGGCTTGGACGAGAAATTCCCAGACCCTCCATCACCTTGTGGGTCCTGATTTCGTACCTACTGCGGCGCTCCAGGAGAACGGTGAAGTGACGGCCCAGAGCAAGGGATGGAAACAGCATCTTCCACCATGCCACCCAGGTGGCGGGAGCTCTGCAGCCAAGCAGAGAGGGGCAGGGCCCAGGTAACCCTGGCAAAACCAAAGGCCTCCCTGTGAAATAGCTCCCCACACTGCTGTGCCCAGTACGGAGGGGAAAGGGGCCTGCCCCCAGTAGAATGGTCCCTTCCTTTCCTGACTGCCGCTGGTTGACCACCCAGTCCTGCTCCTCTGTGGCCCTCTGGATGTCAGTGGCCTGGCTCCATTCCTGCATGCGGCCCCGATATCTGAGTAACCTGGACTTGGGAGACGGGGGTGAAAGTGGCATAGTGGGCTGCTTGGTTCTTGTTATGGAAATGTTGTTGGTTTCTTTGGCAGAGAAAAGATGCAAGACCCGAAGATGCGTTTTCAACTCTGGTAAGAACCTGGAAGCTAATCGGATTCTTCTAGGGAGACAGCAAAGAGATAACACCCCAGTATCCCCCACACATACTCTGAGATGTAAAAATAGCTGTAGTAGGTCAGACCAAAGGTCCATCTAGCCCAGTCTCCTGTCTCCCAACAATGGCCAATGCCAGATTCCCTAGAGCAGTGGTTCCCAAACTTTTTGTCATCACGCCCCCTTTTTTATTTTTGAGAAACCCTCACACACACACACACACAAAAATAGCAGCAAAACTTGTTGAGCAAAAAAAAAAAAAGATTGCCCTTTTAAGAGCAGAGCAGGCGCGCATATTCCAGCGGATGCCCAAGCGGACAGACGGACCAGGCTCTTTCTTGAGGAGGGATTGACGGGGGGCTGTGTCGCCTCGTGCCCCCCCCTGGAATTTCTTCATGCCCCCCTGGAATTTCTTCATGCCTCCCTCCCCAGTTTGGGAACCCATGCCCTAGAACGAGAAAGTGAACAGAAAAGGGACTCTGTCACCCATTCCCAGCCTGGCAAACAGAGGCTAAGGACACCATTCATGCCCATCCTGGCTAATAATTATTGATGGACCTAACCTCCATGAATTTATCTAGTTTTTTTTTGAACTCTGTTAAAGTCCTGGTCTTCACCATGACCTCTAGCAAGGAGTTCCACAGATTGACTGTGTGTTGCATGAAGAAAAATTTAAACTTTTGTTTGTTTTAAACCTGCTACCTAGTCATTTCATTTGGTGACCCCTAGTTCTTGTGTAATGGGAACAAGTAAATAATTCTTCCTTATTCGTTTTCTCCGCACCAGTTATGATTTTACCGATGAATCCCCTCCCCTTACCTTCCCTACTTAAACTGTTTTTCCCTCTTTCTCGGCCTCTGCAGGAATGAGCAGTTTCTCCTCCGGCCCACAGCACCTGTACCTCCTCGGTGGAGTCCTTCTGATGGCCAGTGCGTTGGGAGCACCTGGCTTCCTTTGACATCCTACTTGCTCTTGCTCCCTGGGCTTCTGTTAAATCTCTGTAGACACTGCTTCAAGGGAAAGGACAGGAAGAAGAACAAAACCCCGGAGCCCATCGGCTGGTGCTTCAGGCCTCAGACAAGTGGGGAAGGAATGAAACGTTAAAGGCTCAGAGCTAAATTAGGTTGAGTGGTTGCCTGCTCAAAATTGACGGGGGTGAACTCCCCCAGCGCAGCGATCAGCACGTGGTGTAGATGTAAGATGAGGCCCATCTGCCTTGGCAGGCTTTGGATGCAGCGATCAGCACGTGATGTAGATGTGAGATAAGGCCCATCTGCCTTGGCAGGCTTTGGATTAGGCCATTATACTTTATTTTCTATAGTAACCCTTCGCCATGACACCAGTGGAGTGTCATAACCGTGAGTGAGGTCCAGTGCCTGGTGGCTAAAGGGTTAACTGTGGCTCCTGTCTCTAGCCAGGTATCTGATCAGCCAATAACAATGCAGGTAGGGATTTCAAACTGGGACAAAGGAATTTTTAACTTTCTCTCCTTTGTCCGAGTCAGCGCAGTTTCTTCTAAGTAACAGGGAGATGGAAGGCCGTCTCTCTCTCTCCAAGAAAAGTCTCCTCACAATATGCAAGTAGGGCAAAGCTTAGTTAGCCCATCAGGTTTTATTGTTTTCTGGTTTGGGAATTTGGAATTGATGTCTGAGCTGTTCAAAGTGTATTTTTTTCCTTTGTACTTAAAGTCTTGAGCCCAGGGGGTCTCCCTGAGTATCTAGATTAATTGGGGCTTCCTTTTCATCTAGTCACTATGCTTGCAACTGTAGTATTGTTTTGATAATAAATGTTTGTTTTCTTTTTCTAATTAACCTGGTATTGGTTCATTTCTGTGTCCTGGAAAATCTGTCTGTGAGTGTCTGCCGGCCTCTGACTACGGGGTAGCTACCACAGACTGCAGCTTATTTTCTCTTTTCTTTTTCAAGCTCTTTGGGGGAAAAGAGCTTGAGGTATCCCTGTGGTTTTAGGGAGGAGGTTTCCAAGTGATCTCTTCCAGGGTTTTTTTCTTGGAATTCTTGGGTGGTGGCAGCGGATATGCTCCAAAATCTGAGTATTAGGATTTTGGGGGGAAGCTTTTGTACCAAAGCCTGTAAAGATAAGGTTTTGGGGTGCTTTTGCAGGCCCACACTTCTGCATTTGTCATGCCAGAGTGGGGGACAGCCTTGACATGGAGTCACTCCTATTCACGGCCATCGTTTGGATCGATGGGGCCGCAGGCAGTGCTAGTAAACTAGTGCCCTGAGCCCCACATCAGCTGGGGGCTGGAGGAGGTTTTCGAGTGTGATTTTTATAACCTTTAAGCAACACTCTAATGAAATACTTCTAAGCCAGACTTTCAACTAAGGTCCTGCGACTAACACAGTAAATTCAGAAACTGGCAGCACACACCTGGGGTCGGCACATGCCTGTGACATGGCTCCATTCCCACGCAAACGGCTCGTTCACAGGTTCGGTGTTTGCTCATCGCTGGGGCAGGCTTTGCCACTTGTAAGTTAACTAGAGGATCCTGTCTCCTCCCTCCCCCCGCCAGTGACTTTGGAAATATTTTTGGAGTGGGGGTGCCGAGCGGCACCTCCCCTTTACAGCTGTTGAGATCGGGCTGCCAACTCTCCCAGACCAGACGCCTTTGCTGCAAATGGCGCCTGGTCGATCCAGTCCTGGAGAGTTGGCAACTCTCACCGCCCCACGGATGGGGCTACAGCTGGGGGCTGTGGCAGAGCCCTGGGCCAGCAGCAGGATCTTGGGGCTGGCGGCCAGCAGAGCCCGCAAAGGGTTGGCAGGTGGCAGGACCCCAGGGGAGCCAGTGGAGCCCACAGCAAGGCAGGCGGGTGGCAGGGCTGATGGGACCCCAGTGGGCTGCCCGGAGGCTAGGACCCTAGGATAGAGGAGCCAGCAGTGGGGCTGACTCCCAGGTACAGGTAAGCCAGGTGCAAATCTGGGGGTACCGCAGCCCCCCCCATATTTTCTGTGTCCTCCCCCCACACTGTTTCCCAAACGTCAGCTGTACGTGGTTCTTGTGCGAGGGAAAGGACTGGAAGAGAGACAGAAGGCAGCTCACATGTTCTTTCCCTTGCTCTCTGCGCAGGGCATCTCCAGCCCTAGGGAACACAGGGGCAGCGCTGGGCGGTGGAGAGACCCTGCCAGACAGACTGAGCCGGGGACAAGTGGGGAGAGCGGCTGGGCTGCGAATTCACTTCGCGTTCGTTCCTTTTTCCCCTGGATGCCTTTGTAGCCCATTCTGCCCTTCGTGCCTCGTGACCTGCGGCCGCGGAACACGCCCCTCCCCAGCGCTCGGACGTGTGTTTTACTGGTTTCGCTAGAACTCTCCGGGCGCCGACAGGGTTTGGTGCCGCTCATTTTCCATTCCTAAAATGACAGACTGCGCCGGAGCTGGCACAGCCCACGTGGGCGCGGGGCAGGAGAGGACACGTCTCTGGGGGAACAGCGGGGGATGGACTTTCTCTAGGGGCACCCTGCAGTGTAACCAGCCAGAGTGACCAGGAGTGATCAGCCAGAGCCGCCAGGTGGTGCAACTGCCCTGGGGGAGGCTGGGCACAGATAAGGAGAAGTGGCTCTCCCAGGGGAGCAGAGTAATTGGGCTGGAGAACTGAGGGGGCATCACTGTCCATCAGGCCAGAAGGTACCCGGGGGATGGCCCCGCTGTAACTAACCGAACCCTAAGGCCTCCGGGGGGAACGTTCCAGCCATTGAACCCAGGTGGCACGTTGAGTTCAAAGACACCCCCCAGGCAGGGACTGACGGGAACACGCTCGGGCTCGTTGCGGGGGCTGGAGATGGACAGGGGCCAGGATAGCCTTGGGCCAGACAGGGTGGGGAGGGATGGGATGGGGCCAGACTCTCCCAGGAGGGCAGGGATGGAGGAAGGCACAGCCAGCTGCGTGGATGCGGCTGGGGGCTGCCGGCATCTCGTAAGGAGAGGGGGCTGTGGGGGAAGCACGCCGGCAGATGCCCGCAGGCCCTGTGTGCGCTGCGATGGGGACAGCCGCCGAATCAGCAGCCACCTCTGCAGCCGGGAGCGAGCTGGGCTAGACAGGGCAGGGTTGCGGAGGGATGGGGCCAGACTCTCCCTCCCTGCCCTCCTGGGAGCGTGGGGTATTTGCTCTGCCCAGGCTGGCTGCCCACGTGCATTTGAGGAAGGCACAGGGTCCCATGTGCTGCCTGGGGGGCTGCGAGGTCCGGTCCCTGTCTGGCCCCAGGACGCTATCCGGAACAAGAGCCAGGAGAAGACAGTCCAGAGATTTTATTCTCGTCTCTAGGCCAGGCCCCCTCCTGCCCAGATCCAACTGGACACGCTGCGCTGGGGTGCAGGCTACACCTGCCACCCCTTCCCCGAGCTGCATAGAACCCGGAAGTCCTGGCTCCCAACCCCTCCCCCATCCCGTTGTCACCCGACAGAACCCAAAAGTCCCAAGTCCCCCTCCCCGCCCCGGCTGCCCTTCCTTGCTACCCCCCTGCACGCACACACTCCCCATGGCGGTGATCGCTCCAGGCCAGCAGCGTAGCTGCAGGAGGAACAGGTGCAGCCTGATGGGGGCAGACGGGCGAGAGGGGGGCCCAAGAGCGGATCTCTACGGAACAAGGAGAAGATGCTACGAGAGGGCCCATCCGGGCTGCCCTGACTCCATGTGCACCTGCCCGCCCTCCCGCAGCTCGGGCGCTGCCTACCGGGGGCCCCTCACATGGCTTTGCCCATGACGAGCATGCTCATGAAGAAGACCATAATGAAGAAGATCCACATGAAGATGCGATCCATGACCTTGGCCACTTTCTTCCACTCGCCGGTCCGCTTCTGGGCCGCCCGTTGGCCCCGGAACGAGCTGGCGATGTACTCGACGTTCCTCAGGAGGCTGGCGTGGTGGCAGAGGCACGGGCTCCTCGCACAGAGCGGGTGCTGCCGCCCTTCCTCTGCCTTGCGCCGGGCAGGGCCGTACGCTAGGCTGGGACACGTCCCGGTCTCTTTCCAGTCCGGCTGATCAGAGGGGCTGCCGAGCCTCTGCGGCAGCGACTCCGGCTGCGGAGACTTCTCCCAGCACGTCAGGTCTGAGTCCTCCTCCTGGAACTGGGCTTTCTGCTCCGCCTGGGCGGCCCTGCCATTCACCCCCTGTCCCGTGGGCAGGGGGTCCAGCTGCCTCCTGGGACTCGTGCAGCTCTCCCCCACCTCGTAGACAAAGAAGAGCCGGGCCATGTACTGCAAGATGAACTTCTTGGCCCACCTGGGCACGGGCTTGGCTCCGGGGCCGCAGTGGTGGACGTTCATGATGAAGATGGTGAGCGCGGTGGAGGCCGTGATCATGGTCATGGTGGCGATGTAATACTTCCCTGGAAGGCAAGACGGGAGGACGGGCTGTGACTCCCCCGGGAAGTGGGGAGCGCGTGGCTGCGGGCCCGGCTGCTCCCCTTGGAGGATGCCACACCCAAAGCACAAGCCTCTACCGCGTATGCTGGAGAACAACTCCCCTCGCGCCGAGGAAGCAGCGGGTTGTTCTACACCTAGGAAGGGCCTCGTTCCTCCAGCTGGGTCCCCGCCACCAGCAGCAGCAGACCAGAGGCTGCTGGAAGACCCCCTAGGCCAGGGGTCTCCAAATTTTTAAGCATGAGATCGCTTTTTGAATTTGAGAGCCATCCAGGATCTACCTGAAACCCAAACTCCCTTGCCCCGCCTCCTTCCCGCCCCTTCTCCGAGGCCCCGCCCCCTGTTCACTCCATCCTCCCTCCCGCATCCTCACTCAATTTCATCAGGCTGGGGGCAGGGGTCTAGGATGCGGGGGAGGGGAATGGGGACTCTGATCTTGGGCTAAAGGATCTGGGGTATGGGTGGGGTTCTGGGCTAAGGTAGTTGAGCAGCAGGGGATTCAGGGAGCAGGCTCTGGGAGGAGTTTGGGGGTGGGGGAGTCAGGGCTAGGGCACGGGTTTGGGGTGCAGGAGGGGTTCAGGGGCAGGCTCTGGGAGGGAGTTTGGAGGCGGGGGACTCAGGGCTAGGGCAGGGGTGTGGGGTGCAGGAGGGGTTCAGGGGCAGGCTCTGGGAGGGAGTTTGGAGGCGGGGGACTCAGGGCTAGGGCAGGGGTGTGGGGTGCAGGAGGGGTTCAGGGGCAGGCTCTGGGAGGGAGTTTGGAGGCGGGGGACTCAGGGCTAGGGCAGGGGTGTGGGGTGCAGGAGGGGTTCAGGGGCAGGCTCTGGGAGGGAGTTTGGAGGCGGGGGACTCAGGGCTAGGGCAGGGGTGTGGGGTGCAGGAGGGGTTCAGGGGCAGGCTCTGGGAGGGAGTTTGGAGGCGGGGGACTCAGGGCTAGGGCAGGGGTGTGGGGTGCAGGAGGGGTTCAGGGGCAGGCTCTGGGAGGGAGTTTGGAGGCGGGGGACTCAGGGCTAGGGCAGGGGTGTGGGGTGCAGGAGGGGTTCAGGGGCAGGCTCTGGGAGGGAGTTTGGAGGCGGGGGACTCAGGGCTAGGGCAGGGGTGTGGGGTGCAGGAGGGGTTCAGGGGCAGGCTCTGGGAGGGAGTTTGGAGGCGGGGGACTCAGGGCTAGGGCAGGGGTGTGGGGTGCAGGAGGGGTTCAGGGGCAGGCTCTGGGAGGGAGTTTGGAGGCGGGGGACTCAGGGCTAGGGCAGGGGTGTGGGGTGCAGGAGGGGTTCAGGGGCAGGCTCTGGGAGGGAGTTTGGAGGCGGGGGACTCAGGGCTAGGGCAGGGGTGTGGGGTGCAGGAGGGGTTCAGGGGCAGGCTCTGGGAGGGAGTTTGGAGGCGGGGGACTCAGGGCTAGGGCAGGGGTGTGGGGTGCAGGAGGGGTTCAGGGGCAGGCTCTGGGAGGGAGTTTGGAGGCGGGGGACTCAGGGCTAGGGCAGGGGTGTGGGGTGCAGGAGGGGTTCAGGGGCAGGCTCTGGGAGGGAGTTTGGAGGCGGGGGACTCAGGGCTAGGGCAGGGGTGTGGGGTGCAGGAGGGGTTCAGGGGCAGGCTCTGGGAGGGAGTTTGGAGGCGGGGGACTCAGGGCTAGGGCAGGGGTTTGGGGTGCAGGAGGGGTTCAGGACTGAGGTATGGTTTCAGGATGTGGGCGCCAGCTGGACACCGCTTACCACAAGTGGCTTCTGGGTGGTGGTGCAGGGGACAAAGGCAGGCTCACCCCTGCTCCCAAAAGCAGCCAGCAAACTCCCTCCATTCCTGCCCCCCCGCTCTGTGGAGATGGGATACAGGGCGGGTGGAGGGTCACCCTGCCATCAGCCCCCCCTCCTCATCTTCCCTTGCCCTGCACAGCAAGCAAGAGGCTCCCAGGGGTGGGGGGCAGCTCCAAGGCAAAGGGCAGGAGCAGGGGCAGATGAAGGTCCAGCCCTTGACAGCCTCCTGGCCAAACCAGTCAGAATCACCTGTCAGAGGCTCCAAGATCGACCAGAAGATCCCGATCGACTGGTTGGTGACCCCTGTTCTAGGCCATCAGGGAACCTCTCACACTGGGATGAGGCAGCTGGGACTATTCCATGGTTGGGTACATCAGCTTTAGAGCCAGAAGAGGGGGTCAGTGTGGTGCAAAGCAACCACGCTGCACCTGAGAATCTGGCCTGCAGCCTTCCGACTTGGGGTTGTTTTCTTTTTTAAGGAGTTCCTGAACTGTACAGAATACAGCCAAGCTTTGGCTAAGATCTCCCATGTGCAGCCCCGCTGGGCCACCCCCGCCTGAGGCTGGCCCAGCTGGATGGAGGCTGCCCACCTGTCTCAAGGGTGTGTCTACACTGCATTCCTCTTTCGAGAGAGGAATGAAAATGCAGGTGAACGAAATCGCAAATGAAGTGCGGATTTGAATGTCCCGTGCTTCATTTGCATAATCGTGTCCGGGCGCTATTTCGAAATACCCTATTTTGAAAAAAGAAACGCTGTCTAGATGCTGTTATTTCGAAAGAATCCCCTTCTTTCGAAATTACCCTTACTCCTTATAAAATGACAAAGCTCTCCTTAAATCTGCAGGTGGCTGGATCATCCCAGTTCAGGATGCATGTGCCGGCAGCAAGAGGACCTTAAACCCACAGCAAAACTCTTTGGAGTTGAAGATTTTTTTTAAAAAATCACAATAAAGAGGCAGAATTTGTAAGGTTACAGGAATTTCAAAGTGGTAACTGCAGCCGGAATAGCAATAACCTTGTCAAAAGCTCTGTGCAAAACTATAGCCTCTAAAGCATCATCGCATATTGAAAAATAGCATTGCAGATTCAAGAATCTGTCTACTATCAAGCAGGCTCCAACGCATGAGCTTCAAACTTGGGCTGAGTCTTTGATCTCAAGGAGATTCATCCACCAAGCTAAGTTTGAAACTTCCAATTTCATGTGGCTTTAATGTAGGAATTCTGAGCACAAGATTTCTAAATGAAACATGGAGGTTGCGAGGGGAGAACAGCCCTTCTTCACCTGCTCAAATGAAACCCTAAAAAAAACTGAACAGACCTGGCTCAGGCATCAAAACAAAGAGGGTAACTTTGGGGTGAGACCAAGCATGGGAAAGATACTTTGGAAAGGGAGGTGTTTGGTTCGACTCACCAATATGACTCAAGAAAGATGTGGAGAAATTGGAGATGGTCCAGAGAAGAGCAACAAAAATGATTAAAGATCTAGGACAGTGTTTCTCAGCCAGTGGTACAAGTACCCTTAGGGGTACTCGAGAGAAGTCTGGGGGTACATCAATGCAACTGAAACTTGGAGAAAACTGAATTTTTGTTTTAAGTGTTAGTGTTTTATTATTTTTGTACTTTTTACACTCAAAAATTTCATTGCCTGCCCAGCTACGATTAAGTTGTTTAAACAAATGTGTTGCAATGGTAGAAAAAAAATTGTCTGTCTGAAAACTGTAGGTACTGGGGGTACTTACAATTTTTTTAAAGGGGTACTTTATAAAAAAAGGTTGAGAAACACTGGATTAGAAAACATGAGCTATGAGGAAAGACTGAAAGAACTGGGCTTGTTTAGTTTAGAAAACAGACGACTGAGAGGCGACATGATAGCAGTTTTCAAGTATCTAAAAGGGTGTTACAAGGAGGAGTGAGAAAAATTGTTCCTCTTGGCCTCTGATGATGGGACAAGAAGCAATGGGCTTAAAAGGTTGAACATTAGGAAAAAGTTCCTAACTGTCAGGGTAGTTAAACACTGAAATAAATTGCCCAGGGAGGTTGTGTAATCCCCATCTCTGGAGAAATTTAAGAGTAGGTTAGATAAATGTCTATCAGGGATGGTCTAGACAGTATTTGGTCCTGCCATAAGGGCAAGGGACTGGACTCGACCTCTCGAGGTCCCTTCCAGTGCTAGTGTTCTATGATCCCATGGCCAGAAGGGACCATGGAGATGATCCAGTATGATCTACAGAACACCAGCCAGCAATCTCTCCATTTCTGTTTTTTGCCCACAACTTCCTATTGAGCTACAGCCTGTCTGCTAGGGAGACCTCTAGTCTTGCCTTTCAGACTGTGAGTGACGGGGAGTGCTCTCTGCCCCTCAGTCAGGTGAGCCCACAAGCCTTGGAAAAGGGGAGCTAGATTCAACCCCAGCTGCAATGTGCCACTGGCAGAGAGTTTTAGCAAAGAGGCTGAGGTTCGGAGTGGACCCTGCCTCTCGGGACTGAAGCACACGGCTTAACGCTTCCCTATTCTGCGTGGCAGGCTGCACCTGCCGTGTGGAGAGAGAACTTCCGCCGGTGCCCCTCCCGCTGCAAGCAGAGACTCACCGATCAGCGGCACGTTCTCGGAGGGCGGCATGCTCTCTGCCACCAGCAGCTGGAAGACGGTGAGTGCCAGCAGGACTGTCACCCCCAAGGAGACCTTCTCCCCGGAGTCGGCAGGGAGGTAGAAGCCCAGCGGGGCTAGGAAGGAGATCATGACGCAGGGCAGGAGCAGGTTGAAGATGTAGAAGGAGGCGCGTCTCTTGAGGAGCAGCGTGTAGGTGACATCGGGGTAGGGCTCCGAGCAGCAGCCGTAGATGATGACGTTCCTCTTGGCCGGCATGCCCAGCACCTCCCACTCCACGTTCTCCACGAAGTCCGTCAGGTCGCCCGTGGCCAGCCCGTTGAGGAGGTCGATCTGGTTGCCGTTGTAGGTCCACGAGCCGAAGGTCAGCCGGCACTGCTGCCCGTCGAAGGGAAAGTAAGAGACGTCCACCTTGCAGGAGCTCTTTGTGATGGCCGGGGAGTCCCACATCACCTGCCCGTCGTAGCGGATCACCACGTTGGTCTCCATGGAGCCCGTGAACTGGTCATCGGCACTGAGGGGGAGGGAGACAGGGAACACAGACGTGGGGGAGGGGTCCTTCCATAGCTTAACCCCTTCCCCCTCTGCAGTACTCAGGGGCTTGTTCTCGTAGGGCTGCTCACGAATGTTAGGCAGAGCTCGCAGGGCAGAAGGCTGCCGACACAGGTGTGTTTTTGTAGGGTCTCTGGGTCACTCACGGGAACAGGTGCCTGGGGGCCTTGATATTGCTTTTAAACAAATGAATCATGACACTTTTGTGCTGAGGATGTCCATCCCCTCCCCCGACAAGACCTTCACTTGGACCAGGTCTGGGCAAGATACCACCCAGGGGCTGGATCCAGCTCACCAAGCTCCCTTCCTGCCCCAGCCCCCGCACACCACTCAGAAAAGCAACTGTGAGGCCCTGTTTGTCTTTGAACAGCTGCAAGCCCAGGGGAGGTGGGGAGAGGCTTCAGGTGCTGCCCCGCCCCCAGTACAATTTCCAACCAATGGGCATTGCCTGTTTGAAGAACAGGCAGCGCGCGAATCACCATTCTTCCCCTCCCCTCCGGCTCCCTCCTATTCAGACCCACATGGAGGGGAGGACTAGCTCAGTGGTTTGAGCATTAGCCTGCTAAACCCAGGGTTGTGAGTTCAATCTTTGAAGGGGCCATTTAGGGATCTGGGGAAAATCTGTCAGGAATGGTACTTGGTCCTGCCATGAGGGCAGGGGACTGGACTTGATGACCTCTTGAGGTCCCTTCCAGTTCTATGAGATAGGTGTATATCTCTATATATTATGTCCCAGGGAGCAGGGCAGGCCTAAGAAGGCTACTGGGGTAAGTCATAGAATAATAGGACTGGAAGGGATCTCGAGAGGTCATCAAGTCCAGCCCCCCGCCCTCAAGGCAGGACCAAGCTCCGTCTACACCATCCCTGACAGAGCCTGCCTCAGGCACCCCAGCCTTCCTATTGCTCCTGTACCTCTAACCCATGAATCCAAACCCTCAGCCTACAACCCTGAACCAAACACCCTCCCGCTCCTCCACCCCTTGCCACAAGCTCCCTTCTGCACCCAACCTCCATTAGTATCCTGGAAGAGTGCGGCCCTTGACCACTTTCCAAAATCTTGGAGTTGCCCCCTGTCAGAAATTATTACCCACCTCTGGTTTAAGCAGTAAGCATACCACTAAGCATGAGGCTTACTGAATTACTGCCCACCCCACCCCAGAGTGGGACTACAAAAAGATGTAAGAAAAAGCAAGGCCAAGTTCTATGGCTCCCAGTTATCAGTGCCCATCACCCATCTGTAAGCAGCAACACAACTGCCTTCCCAGGGCTTCTGTCCTTCCTCCCGGTCAGAGCTCAGCCTCAGACACCACACGGCACGCTGGCTGCTCTCATCTGCCTGGGCTCTGGCTGCTCTCATCTGGCTGGCCTCAGCGAGCTGATCCCTCTTGCCCGGCTGCTCCCAGGGCCGTACCGGGGTGGAGGCGGGATCAGAGCAGAGCAGATGAGGGGAACAAGTGGCAGAACATGCCAGGAAGGAAGGTCTTTGCCCGCTACATTCTGCAGCCTTTGTGGGGATCCTATGCACACTGTGCTCCAGAACACCTAAGCACTTCCTCTGTTAGCGTGAGTACAGGAGCCCCTCTTCCCGATACAGCCTGTGACCTGTCGCCCTCTAGGGGCTCTCGCTGGCAAAGAGGAAGGTCAGTAACCTCCCCTCCCGCCAGCTGAAAGCCACCTCTGTGTTTACGGAGCTGATTCTGCAGCCTTTGTGGGGATCCTATGCACACTGTGCTCCAGAACACCTAAGCACTTCCTCTGTTAGCGTGAGTACAGGAGCCCCTCTTCCCGATACAGCCTGTGACCTGTCGCCCTCTAGGGGCTCTCGCTGGCAAAGAGGAAGGTCAGTAACCTCCCCTCCCGCCAGCTGAAAGCCACCTCTGTGTTTACGGAGCTGGAGGGTCCCTGGTTCTATTCCCCCAGGATGCCTGTTCCCAGAAGCGGTGCAGTTCAATATCCCGCTAACCTACTTGTTATACAGGACAATGTCGGGTCTCCATACGTAACTACTGGGTATGCGGATGGTGTCAATCCCATCATAATCACCCTTGTCCCAGCTCAGGTAGGCGTCCACCCACACCTGCCGGATCCACAGGTAGGCCGTCAGGATCTGGTTCCGCTCATCCTGCCACGAGGAGAGATGACGAGAGGTCAGCGAGATTGTGGGTGCGTGTGAAATGCAGCCACCTCTGGGATGGCGGGGGGAGGTGAACAACAGCTGGTTTTACATGGATATGCAGGGCCCCCACTGTACAAGGCAGTGCATTTGCCATGCAATTTGCCAGTGTGAAGCCACCCTCACAAGCGACTCAGACCCTGATCTTACCCATGCGTCACTTTCAGCATGAGAATAATCCCAGGGAAATCCAAGGGGCTGTTTAAAGTGTGCGGGATCAGGGGTGTGGAGTCAGACTGCTCTAAAAAACCTTCTGCACCCAGGGATCACAGGTCAGGGCCTCGCTGGGCTTGCTCGTTGAGATGGGACCTAGACCATGCTGAAGCTAGACTTCAGTGAGGCATTTGACACGGTCTTGCGTGACCTTCTTATCAATAAACTTGGGAAATACAACTTAGATGGGGCTACTGTAAGGTGAGTGCACAACTGGCTGGATAACCGTTCCCAGAGAGTAGTTATTAATGGTTCACAGTCATGCTGGAAAGGCATAACAAGTGGGGTTCCACAGGGGTCTGTTTTGGGACCAGTTCTGTTCAATATCTTCATCAACGATTTAGATGATGGCACAGAGAGTATGATTATTAACAGGGCTTGACAATTAACATAATCTACTTGCCCGTGGCGAGTAGATTTTAGCCCGGCGCGGCCGCACAGCGCGGTCAATGCATGCGCAGCACGCGGGTGGCAAACCCTGATTATTAAGTTTGCAGATGCTACCAAGCTGAGAGGGGTTCACGTGCTTTGGAGGATAGGGTCAAAATTCTAAATGATCTGGACAAACTAGAGAAATGAAAGAGACTGCGTGTGCGTGCGTGCGTGCGTGCGTGCGTGCGTGTGTGAGAGAGAAAGAGCGAGAGAGCGCCTGCACACATACACAAAAGTCAGCTGCTTTGACTGCCTCTTCCACAGTTGTTGGGGAGGTAAATAGGATGAAGTTCAATAAGGACAAATGCAAAGTGCTCCACTTAGGGAGGAACAATCTGTTTCACAGATACAGAATGGGAAGCGACTGTCTAGGAAGGAGTACGGCAGAAAGGGATCTAGGGGTCATAGTGGACCACAAACTGAATGTGAGTCAACAGTGTGATACAGTTGCAGAAAAGGCAAACATGATTCTAGGATGCATTAACAGGAGTGTTGTGAGCAAGACATGAGAAGTCATTCCTCCGCTCCACTCTGCTCTGATTAGCCTCAATCCGAGTATTGTGTCCAGTTCTGGGCACCACATTTCAAGAAAGCTGTGGAGAAATTGGAGAAGGTCCAGAGAAGAGCAACAAAAATGATTAAAGGTCGAGAGAACATGAGCTGTGAGGGAAGACTGAAGGAATTGGACTTGTTCAGTTTGGAAAAGAAAAAACTGAGGTGGGACATGATAGCGATTTTCAGGTATCTAAAAGGGTGTCACAGGGAGGAAGGAAGAAAATTGTTCTCTTTGGCCTCTGAGGATAGAACAAGAAGCAATGGGCTTAAACTGCAGCAAGGGAGGTTTAGGTTGGACATTCGGAAAAACTTCCTAACAGTCAGGGAGGTCAAACACTGGAATAAATTGCCTAGGGGGGTTGTGGAATCCCCATCACTGGAGATATTTAAGAGCAGGTTAGATAGACGTCTATCAGGGATGATCTAGCTGGTGCTTGGTCGTGCCGTGAGTTCAGGGGACTGGACTCGATGACCTCTCGAGGTCCCTTCCAGTTCTAGTGTTCTAGGATTCTAGGATGATTCCTGCTCGCCGTGGCTTTGGGGTTAGGACACGATAGCAATACTAGTTGTGAGGGTCATTGCCTCCCTCTATCGGAGACAAACCACGGACCAGACCCTGGGTGCAAAGCTCCCACAGACCCATCGGAGTGCCCGTCTCAATCCCAGTTGTGGGGTTTGTTCTACAGCCCTCAGACCAAGGGCTCCGCCAGCCAGCAGGTGGTGTGGCTGGTGCTGCTATGGCACAGCCGGCCTTCCCGGACATACCATGTCGATGATCTGGGAGAGGGTGATCTGGAGGGTGACGTTCAGCGCCAGGTCCGTGTCCTCCACCGGTCGCAGCGCGTTGGAGTAGTTGGCAAACAAGTCTTTGAGCAGCTTGTAGGCGAATTTTCCCTGAGCCCCGGAGCTGCCTAAAATAGATGTAAAGAACACTGGAGGGAAACCGCGAAGCAAAGGGCAGCGGGTCTCCCTAGAGCCCAGCACCGAAAAGCGTGCATGCAAAGCCCTGAGCGAACAAACACACAGCTACTGTGCACGAGGGTATATCTGGGGGGAAGGAGCAATGAATGACCCTAAGAGCATCACCTTCCCAGGGGCTCACTAGTTAAGAGGGAGTCAGTTGCCGTCTAATACCCATCTATATACTACGGGCATCATGTAAGGCGTCATTGGAAAACCCGCAATGCACTGATGTTTACTATTCCTGCATGGTCTGTGCACAGGTAAACACCCAGAGGGCTTGCCAGGTGGGAAGGAAACATGGCACCAGGATGTGCTGGAACCAGAAATATCTGGGGTGCAGAGAAACGGGATTTTCCAAAGGAAAAGCCAATGGCTCCCTCCAGGTGCAGTCCCAGACAACTGGCAATCATAAGCAAGGGTCCAGGTGTTTGCATCGTAGAAAGCACCACCAAGGAGGAAACTGGCCTGGAATCTTCTCCAGCAGATGCCCCTGCACTTTTCCTCACCGCAGGGGCAAGGAACATGGAGAAGGGAACATTTCAGAAGTGTGTGGGCCTACCCAAGAGAGGGGCACAGAGCCCCCAAGGGATCGGAGATGGCAAAGGAACTGAGCACTTCGGTGGAGATCCTGCCCACCAGATGCCCAGGGTGGTTGTCAACCCTCAGTAAATTCACAGACAGGCCATAAAGAAGGCTGTAAAACTGGACCTGGCCATAAAATCCATAAAAACACTTAGATGCCAGTAAAAAAGCCACCCGTGGAGCTGAGGAGTCCCTGTGTCTTGGCCCCGGGGCCAGCTCCACCCCACAGGACAGTTCTAGGGAGTCTGCATTTCCCAGGACAGGGGCAGATTGGAGAATTCTCCTGGGGAGTGGGGAGGAACAGCAGCATGGGGTAGCAGCTGCCCCCTAGGAGCAGGGAGGGAGCCTGCGCGTAACCACAAACACCTGGACTCGCGGGTTAACCGGTTCCACGTTCACCTCCCTAGCATGAGGCGTGTTTATACTGTAGAGCCCGCAGCGTGTGTAACCCTGAAGAGTTCCTCTGGTTACCCTATTGAACGAGGTAGCGTCCCTGCTCTCGAGGTCCCTTCCAGTTCTGGGATTCTAGGATTCCCGAGGCAAGAGGATTCTAGGATTCCCGTGCCCCTCCCGCCAGGGGAGCAGCAACTAGCTGCCAGCAACTGGCGCCCTAGGCGAACCATGCAATCGGCCCCCCCACCTCCAAACCCCACAACGATATTGCGCCGCCATTTGGCACCCCATTTAACTTGGCGCCCTAGGTGACCATCTAGTTCGCCTCTATGGACGGGCCTCCCCTGCCTCCCGCAAGGATGGAGTCTCCTCTCCCAGGGCGAGGGAGATGAACGCTGGCGGAAGCATTGTGCCAATGCCACCACTGGTGGCCCGGGGGAATTTTAAAGAAGGGAGCAACCCCATGCCCACTAGGAGGAGAGCTGCATGGGGGTGAGGCTGCATGTCAGAGGAGCAGATCCCAGTGACGTCCGGGGAGGGGGGGTTGAATGACAATGTGCCAGGGTGAAGTGGGGGGCTTTTCACCCCGATCCAGGGCGCAACTTTGCAGCCAGTCCTCAGCGGATTCGGTGCCTTTTCCTTCTGCCTCTTGGCTTCAGCTCCTGCAGGGAGGACTCTGCTCAGAGCTCCGGCCTGGCTGGGGTTTGAAAGTTTAATGACCGGGATCTCGTTTCCTCGGCAGGCGCGACTATTGACATCTCGCAAGGTTCGCTTACCGATCAAGACGCCCCATTTCCAGTTCCTGGCCAGGTGCCTTTCCGAAGCGAGGTGCTTGTCATGCAATTGCAATTTAGCTGATGGCAATTCCGGGCTTTGCAGCCTGACTTCAAGGTAAGGTGCCCAAGGCAGCCGGTCCAAAGTGTGACTCCAGAGCCCGGAACAGCCAAGCCCCAAGGCACGGTGCATGGGAGCAACGCAGGTAGGCACTCGTATAATTAGCTCATTAAACAAATGAAATCATGGCTCAGCCCCACCTGACCTGTCATCTCTTAACAGTTCTCCACACATGGATCCGAGAACCCCAACATCCCTGGGAGGCAGGGAAGTTCTATGACCCCTTTTTACAGCTGGGAAACTGAGGCACAGGGCTAGGCCAAGTGGCAGGTGGGGCAAAAAGGGCAGAGCTGGCCAGGAGAGGCGTGGCACGGTCCGGGTGCTGCTGACTGCTGGCTGACCCAGCCTTGCCCCTTCTGGGGAAGGGGGGAAGAGCTGAGCTTCCCCCCTTCCCCAGTGCCCAGAGATCTGTGATGCAAAAGGCGTCTAACCTCAGTACCTCCCCATGGTCCATGTTTTCCCATCCTGCCCGGCAGCGTGGGAAGGGAGGTGGAGGGGCAGTTGCCCCTGACTCAGGCCTGTTGAAGGGACTGCAGTTCCTGGCAAAACCAAGAGCGTGAAACTTAGCACATAGGATACTGCGGTGATCCACAGAACCAGCCCAACCCCTCCGGGGAAGCGCAGAGCACGGTTGCTCAGAGGAGCTAGTTTTCGGAGAGGGGCTCTCAGCCAGGCAACAAAGCGTCCAACACAGGTTGCAGGGACATGGACGTGATTTACTTGATGCACCGACCTCACCTCCTGGCCAGGCAGCAGCTGCAGCTTCCCAGCGGCTAGCGGCACAGGCTGGGGCCCCGGACGGAGCCAGGGGAGAGCCGGATTCCCGAAGGGGAGAGTTTTCCCCTAGACGCGTTCCCGAGCGCAGGAATTCTCACCTGGCCACACGCAGGTGCCCAGCAAGCCCAGGGACAGCAGGCAGGATCCGAAGCGCCCCATCCGCGCGGAACTGCCCGCCCGTGCGGCGGATCAGGGGGCCGGGTCAGACGCTGGCTTCATTCGTGGCTGGGCCGGGGCGGGGGAAGGAAACGGGAGAGCAGCTTCGCGGCTAACGCGGGGGATGCAGAACCCAGGCAGGTGCTGGCAGCCGGCTCCAAGCCCCGGGGGGGGGGGTGGGTCTGGCTGTAATGCCATCCGCGCTTCTCCTCGAGAATCACCGAGGCGGCCTCTGCGCCTGGCCCGGGCTGTGGGCAGCTCGCCTGACGGGTGACGTGGACACGCGAGGGAGCTTACAGCCCCGGGAAGCCAAGCGGGGGCAGGTGTGGACAGGGGCGGGTGTGGACGGAGCCAGCCCTCAGGGAGGAATCTGGGGAGGAGGGACACTCCCGCCCGGGGAAACAGCCGGTGAAATACAGGCGCTCCCCGCGTTACGCACAGCCCACTGACAACAGCAGCGCATCCGCAGCCTCCGGCAGGTCCATGGGCCCTCGGCGGTGCTGCCCCAGGCAGCCTGGCAGAGGGGAGGAGGGGCTGCGAGCTCCTCCGCCCCTGCACCGCTCTGCAAGGTGCTTTCAAAGCACCGCGTCGCGCTCCGTTCCCGCGCGTAACGGGATTCAGCAGCCGGCAGCGCACCCCTGGGTCGGCACATGCCCCTGGAACGGCTCCATCGCCGCTCGAATGGGTCGGGGTAACCGCTCGGCCAGGCTGTGCCACGGCTCAGGCCACTAGCCCCCCACCCCAGACGGGCCCTTCAGTATCTCCACCTACCTCCTCCTCCTCTAGTTAACCCTGCCTGTCCTCAGGCACCGGCGTCCAAGGATAAACACAACCGGGCTCTGCTCTTTCTCATTGCAAACATACAGGGGGTCAAACAGGCTGTGGGAGGGCTAGACTGGGAGCCTGACCCCCATCCACCACTGGGTGCCGAGTGCCCCACAACCGACTCCCAAGTGCACTTTTGGAACCCACCCCGCTGGTGAGCGGGGGGCGAGGCCATTGAACCATAACACAGGAAGGGAAGCAACTCAGACTTGACCAAATGCCCCAGTACTTGGCTTGGGTACATCTGCTGACAACTGGCTTTTGTCGACAGATGTATGTCTAGACATATGTCCTGGGATGAGGCATACCTGGGAGGTCAACCTCGGAAATCCAGGGTACGTCCAGACTACATGCCTCCGTCGACGGAGGCATGTAGATTAGCCAGATGGGCAGAGGGAAATGAAGCCGCGATTAAAATAATCGGGGCTTCATTTAAATTTAAATGGCTGCCCCGCTCTGCAGACAAACAGCTGATCAGCTGTTTGTCGGCTGAGCG